GTAAACAAAAAATAAAACTCCGAAGGAAAAATACTGTACACAAAATCACGGCCAACTAATTATAAGAATAAATAAAAAATAAACTAAGCTGCCAACCAACACTAATGAAGGCCAAGCAAATATGACCACACACCTCAACACATGCTTCAATATATTTGATGTTGTTATTAACCATACTTGTAGTCACCCCATTGAAATGTTACCACAAAGTCAATACCTGTAACTATCTCCCCACCCTACCCCAAACACTGCAAGAGAGGCAGTGAGTGAGTGCCCTTCAATAATAATCCCAAACATATAATTAAACTGGTAGTTCACACATGAGGACCAAGATAATAAATTTAATCAAGCCTCCAAGTATAAGGGAGAGAAGAGAAAGACTAATTAAGTATATATGAGGGAGAAGTACTTAATACAATAATGTCTAAAGGAGAGAAAGACTCACAATGTATAAGAGAAAGAAAGATTCATGTGTATAAATGAGACTTAATACTGTGTAAGATGGAGAAAAATTAATTATTTATAATGAAGAAAAAGACAAATACAGTAATATCCTCACTAGCCAGAATCCCTTAAACCTGGAGCACTCCTAGTTCAACAGTATATGACTCCTAGGCCCCCTAAGGTGTTATGGTTGTGGCAGGGAAACCTCACCTAATTCAGGATTTAATAATCTAGATTATTTAGCTGAACAGACATTTATATTTAGTATAATCTATCACACATTTCAGGTAATCAAATCCTGGGGTTTTATCTCCCATGAACTATAAAACCATTGTAACATATTATAAGGGCAATGTACATCAAATACAAAATACAAAATAATACAAACAGGATTTCACTGCATATCTAGAGACATCTCTACAGAATCACCCTAAAATTCATGCAAACAAGATTAGTATATTCATAATTACAATTACAAAAAGTGGTGGCTTGTCACAGAGTTAGAAGTTAGAATAGTACAGAAGAGCCCGTATTATGGCCTTCTTATTTTGGTTTCGACTATTGTTATTAGTAGTGCAGCAATTTTAAATTCCTTGATGCGGTACAGTATCCATATTAAAGAGCAGAAAGGCTAAAAGAAAAGAAATCTGAAGAATGGCAAAACTAAAAATTATTTAATTTATGTAAGCAGTTATAGTAATTTTTAGATATAGAGCAGTTTGCAACTGTTAACAGCTAGTTGCATACAAACAAACAACTGCAGTACAAACACTAGAATGTTACAGTGGTATTCACAAATACCTGTACAAACAAAGTACCTACACATTTTTACTGGCAGTCCTACAGCTTCTAAGACATTAATATTAACAAATATATGGTGAAGAAGACATTCAATATTGGTTGGTAGTGAAATCATAAAAAAATAATTCGGGTTCTTCTGTATTATGTGCGAGTTCAGACGACTCTTTTGCTTAGTTTATTTTCAATTTATGCAGCAGGGAGGAAGGGCTTGGGGGATCAAACTATAATTACTACCTGAAAAGTAGTGATGGACGGGGTTTATTGGCCGGTTTTCTTCTATAAAATATAAGATTATAGGTGAATATGTAGCTGTAACTCTCTCTGAAAACCATATGAAATTATTTTAATATGGATGCATCACAAGACATGGGGTACTGATTTTATTATCAAAGAAAGAACCTCCATACCTCCATGCAATCTAATGAAGTGTACAAGTTGATAAAACATTGTACCATTCCACAGGTAGAGTACACATACTCTGCCACCAAAGGTATTTAATATTGTCTGGATTAAAAAAAATGCATTTGCCACATATACATTTCCTTTTCTTTCTGAAGAATGTCGTACAATGTTACCACAAAAGGAACTATTCAGTATGAACACCCTCTCACACTTCCACCTGCTACAGTCAGCGTTGTCAATCCTAATCACCGAGAGTTGTGAAACACGAGAGTATGAAACCGCATCCGAAGCATTCACTCCTCTTGTTTATATGGTGCTTTACCCAGATATGGATTCTCAAATATGAATAATAGAGTTCCTTTACATTATTGTTATTAAGTGTATGTCCTGAATGTGGTAGATTCACTTACCAAATGTCAATGTTTTCTGTTGTTAATCCTAATCTCCGAAAGTCGTGAACCATGAGAGTATGAACCCGAGTTCGAAGCATTCAGTCGTGTCGTGAAGTGGGGGATCCAGGGGCCGGTGTGAGAGGAGAATGATGGGCTAGTGGGGGGCGGGGGAGGCAACTGGGAGGGGGGAGAACGGACAAGGTAAATCGTCTGCAGTTACAACCCAGTATTTATTATGCAAACTATTAATACGTAATAGAGAGAATAATGTGGTATTGGAAATTAGTAAGTCTGCCCCTATGTTACTGGTGTGGTCAATTATATATTACTGACCAAATGTTGAGACACAATAAATATGCCAACAATGAAAGTGACAATGCCAGTACCAAGAAAAAAGTTGGTATTAGAAACTTGCCTTATAAACTGTTGTTGTTTCTTAATTTAGTAAAATATCTCTTGATAATGACAACTTCCCATCATCCCTTGCAACTCTTGCATCATGAACTTATGGAAATAATTAAGGTTGAAATATAAGCCTCATGATCATAACAGAGCATCCCAACTATAGTTAACGAATTAAATTTTTATCAAGAAGGACTTTATTACGGTTATGGGTATCCCAGCTTTAGGGTAAACCTGGCTTGTAATCTGCATCTTTTGTGTGTGCTAGCAGCTGTTGGAGAGTAGCTAAAAATGTTCTTAACACCAACTGCCTTAATTTGGGGTTCCTTGAGTTAGATCTATTAAAATTTGGTGGTGCTTGTACACAAGTCATTCCAAAAATATGCTGGGCTATAAAACATTATAAATCCTTTCTCAATTTCTTGTATCACATGAACAATTTTGTCTGTTCTCTTGTTCTAAATCAATTACATTTTACAAACATTCTAAAGATATACCCCCTGTTACAACAGCATAATGATACATAAAACATAAAGTGTCATGTTGGTTCATTCCCCCTCAGCTGTGATCTTGATTTAACAGAGATATGAGTTTGGCATTTTGCAATATGCTGATACAGTAGATGATAAATACGCATGTGAAGTCTTACCGAAGTATCATTATTGATATACTGTAGTGTTTATGCACCAGAAAATTGAAGACAACCGAGCCATACCGAAACACACATGTTTTTTCAGATGTTTCTTCAATAGCATAAAAAACGTTACATTCATTTCTTCACTCTTCAATACTTCCCCTCTCCTTAATTCCTCACTGCATCAACTGTTATTCTTTAATCTGCTTCCAACATGCTATCATTATACCTCACCTCTTTCACATAACAATTAAACTCCTTAAATTTTGTAATTATTCTAAATTGCATGTCCTTTAAACAGTAGTACAATGCACGACCTTGTATACAATGATGTGAACTTACGAATAATCAATCAGTTACTTGCACAGTACAAAAACAAACAAACAAACAAACAAACAAGAGAGTAGTCTGGGAAAGACTATTATCTGGCAACTGACCAACTACTGTACTTACTTAATTTCTAAAAGACTTTACTATGGATAATGTAATTTTTAGCTCTGTCTAATAGTTAATCTTCCAGCAAAAATCCTTAATCCACTCAGAAGAATATAAATGAAATACAGTAACCAGGGAAATATATTAACTGGAAGGATACTTAAGAATTATAATTATGTAGAGTCAGAACTTGTGACTCAGAAGAGAAATATCAGGCACCAATGATTCTACTGAGTCCATTAAATCTACAATAACATTAACATCACTAAACATCACAAAACATCACAAAACATCGCCCCTTTCACTCACATGCATGATTATAAATTGTTTAGTTTTCAGTAAAATTATCTATATGAGGCATGTCAGGCATAATCCAGGTACAGTACAGTACTAGCTGATGAAATACCTGGCAGAATAACATCAGGGCATGCATATTTAAACAATTACTACTATTGCACTTCAACCTTCCAAGAAAATCATTAAGCAAATTGGGTTTACAAACTTAGAAAACTATAGTAAAAAAAAATAATAATAAATCACAATGCAATATTATTAAATGTGAGGTAGAGACAAATGAAGTAGCTCCACAAACACAAAATAAACCTACCAAGCAACAAGCAAGATCACTGGCAATTAAGATTACTTATAATTATTGAGATAAATCATGAACAATGTCTAAAGACTGAAAACTGGTCAAACAAACGAAGACTTTGTTTTCATGACAAGCACAATTCTCTTATAGGAAGTTTAATACTCCCGACTATATTTTTCTGAATTTATCACAGTTCAATAATAAAACTAACTCAATAAATCACATTTCTCCCATTACATATGAAATTGGTGGATTTGGGCAAGTAAAAAGTGCAGACAAATTTTAATCCATATATAAATACAAAAATAAACATTTTGTTATTAACTAAAAAACATTTAAATATAAGTACAAATTAATTGCCAGCACCTGCACAAGTAGCTTCATTCAATATAAAGTTTCATCATCTCTACAGTAACAAAGTGTGAAACATATAACAACATACCTATGATTAGGAACAATTCCGTCGTTACTTGTTTTGGTTTCATTTTCTGACTGTTCAACAACTATGGAAGGCTGCCGAGTGTTATGATACTTGTGCCTAACTCTTTCCGAGTCTGTATTGTCTTCAATATCAGCATCACTGATTTCTGAAAAAGTATTAAGGTGAGCATTTTGTTTTCAATGCTAAATTATAAATACGTGTAAGAGTAACATATAGCACGAATACAGTTGAGTTGCGATAAATTGTGAGTTTGGTGCCAGAAGACATCGTGAGTTATCATATCACAAATTGTAGTTTAATAGATATAAATGGAAATACTGTAAACAGTAAGTTCCGGAGGTAAAAAAATACGAATACTGCAAACTGTTCCAAAACTACATTAACAAACACTAAGCTTCGTACATAACCATAACAAATACTGTAGTGTAATACATGGATATTGTACAAAAAGTAGTTCTACATTACATACTGTAAGCAGCAGCTTCCCTTCTCATAATTTTGTCACACCCTTCATCATACTGAGCCAGATCTTGTCTCACACTCAGTCATACTGATTCATACTTGATGTGAAACACTTTACCATACAGACCTTGAATTCATGCCAAACTCCACCAAAATTATCCTACCTGCACACCACAAATAAACACTCATTTTGTCTTAAATGGACTTCCCTTGATTTCCTACCACCATTCCCCTCACTTAAATATTTTGTCGATTCTTTTCATACCAATCTCATACGTATTAATCTGTACACTATCAACATTCAACTGTTTATTCTTACCAATCCTATCTTAGAATTTTGTCTTCTTACCTACCTGCTCTATATACAATTATCCATCCAACACCAATTTACAGCAGCTTACAGACTTTTGGATCTTCAAATAAATATACAGTATGTAATAAATCTTACTTAAAACCAAACTCATACTTTCTTTCCCACGTAGGCTACGGCAAAACTATTAGTTATCATGGTTGTGAGATAATGTTTGTCATTTATTTCACTGTACAGTACAACTATACAGACCTCCGGAGGCCCTAAGCAGTTAAGGTGTTCTTGATTTTGAGGATACCTCATCATTCATAACTGAAAATAAGTATTATAATCAACAGCTCTCAATACCCCAGAGACACCATCATCATCATTTCATGGCCATTCTCCATGCTTGCCTGAGCTAGCTGTGATTGCCTGATGGAAGCTCTCCTTGTTGTAGTCTCTTATAGCCTCCCTTGTCAAGTTCTTACCTTCTTATCTCTGAAGTCATTTCTTACAACCTCTCCCAATGTCACTCTTGGCCTACCCCTGCCTCTCCTCCACTCTACATCAAACTCATAAATCTCTTGACCCAGTTGGTCTACTCCATATGCCTGAACCATATCGGGCTGAGATGGTTCAGGCATATGGAGAGAATGGAGTAGACCAACTGGGTCAAGAGATTTGAGTATGATTCAAAACCTCACCATTATCTCAATATCTAGCCAATGTCTTGGCTCTGAACAGGGTTTCCCAATCTTTCAAGCTCACAATAAACATCCATCTCACCACTCTCATTTCAGCTTGCTCAGGTCCACATAAGTTCTCCTTAACAACCCACGCTTCACTACCATACAACAACTTACCCACATACCAATTACCTTATCATCACTAAGGAATGGTAATAATTTGTAGATAATGAGCGCCATACATAATGTAAAGGGACTCCCTCCTATCATGACATGAGAATATGGTGTTGAGTACTTTATGCAGATGGATCTACTATTAATGGGTGATGTTACATTGTGTGGTGTGTGAAGTGACATATATACAGTAAATGCACTATATAGCATGGGACTTCGTTGTAGAAGGGAAACACTATAGTAGAATACAATTGTTGCAGCAGTAATAATGAATAAATGACAGCAAATGAAGAGAGAAAGATTCTGTTTGTTATTAATTCTGTTATCCTAAAATATAGCTAGATAGAAGGGTGGAGAGAGATAGCAGAGATCAGTGACACAATGTAAATCAGTACCCTCCGTAATATTGTAACCTTAACTAATAAAGCAAACACACATGAAGGCTTGAAATTTATGAGAAAAAAAAATACAAGTGGTTACCTGTAGATGATCCTTTTTTCTTGGAACTGGCAATGTCACTTTCATTGTTGACCTTACTTTCATTTTCAGTTTCTTCGTCTTCAGAATCATCTTCATCTTCAGATTCAACCTCATCAATTTCATTATCCCCTTTTTCATTATATTCATCCTTTCTTGTTTCTATAACTCTCTCTACTTTCCTTTCATCCGTCTTCTCTTTTACTGTTTCTTCACTATCTTTGCCTTCATGTAAGTTATTAGATGAAGCTGCTTTCTTATTTTCATTCCCACTGTCAATTTTTCCCACAAGAGACTCATCTTCTTCATCTTCTTCCATATCATATTCAGAATCTTCATCACTTTCTTCTCCATCACTTAGGTTACCCCTTATCCCAGCTTTCTTTGCTGCCGTCAGCTGCTTGAATTTGGAACTCTCTCCTCTCTTCTGCATTTCTTTTGTATCCCCCATCACAGTTTTCCTCTCCTCCTCTCTCCTGGCTCGCTCCTCAACATCTTCTGGTCGACTCTTCTCTGTTATTCGCCGTTTTACTCTTTCATTTTCTAACGTAGACTTTTTACTTAGGTCTTCTTCGTTATCCTCAGTGTTGGCTCGCATACAAGATGGTGCTAGGCTTCCACCTTTGCTGTGCCTTTTTGTACTTCTGTGTTGTTTCTTTTCTGCTTTTTTCTGTTTCTTCAACTGGTGTTTGGAGACTGAGTTATTGCTAGTAGGCCTTCCAAAACAGTCAAAAACACTCTCCTCATCTTGGGATAGTTTTTTGGGTTTTCCCTGAAAGAAAATCAGTAAAATGGTGAAATATAGCCATTACATTACTTTTTTGATTAGTCATACATACAGTATCTATATTTAGAGGCCTGAATTGCTTACTTCCTCTTAGTGTTTGAGAAATCAAGAATATATGATTCTTTAGAAGTCACTCCTGTGCATCATAAAGTGAAGACCAATATAATTTAATTGACATGAATACCTTTAAAGTGTGCACTACAACTTTCTAATACTGCAGTATTTATTTTGTGTTGGTAATCCGTAAAGGAGTTCGGTTGTTAAAATATACATACCAGCATTTATGTCCATTCATGAATATAAATAATAACCTTTCCCTCAAGTTTAGAAATAAATATCTATGAGGTTTTACCTTTTCTTCATTGATTGGGAGTGACAAGTCCATCATGGGTTCAAACACCTGTGAAGACCAGTGACACTCCTCACAGAAAACTGAAATTATACACAAAATCAGAAACTAAACCTTTTGAGAAAATAATCCCTTCACTTAAATATAAAATATATCTGGCAGCCATATACAGGAGGCGACCCTTGGTTTATGTGATTTCACTATTATACAAATAGTAATATCTCCGTTAGCCGGAATCCCTCAAACCCGAAACTCTACGATAGCCGGAATTGAAATTTTCTCGGAAAATCGTTCCCAAAGCCTGATTTTCAGGGAAAATTACGGCTTTGGGAACAATTTTCTAAGAAGCACATTTTCCGGAAATTTCCCAGAAAATTTTCCCGAAACGCGGAAAATTCTGGGGATTTGGATATTTTACCAAGTTCGAGAGATGATGTTTGAGCAATTTCTGGAGCTTTTCTTTCCATTACCCGGAAAATTCCAGGGATGAGGGATTTTTTCCGGGTTTGAGAGAGTCGTCTCATCATACCCGGAAATCTCTCATTCCCGGAAGTGCTCTGCACCAATTGTTCCGGCTAACGGGGATATCACTGTATGCTATTTCTCCCACTCTCTTACTATGTGTGAGAATTTGTAATTACAGGATTATCTCCCTATACGTACTGAAATAATTAGAGAGCAACCAGTTCAGTATAGGGAGGTTGTCAGATTAAAATTAATCCCAAAAAATCGTCCAATGCCGAACTTTGTTCGATATACTGAATATGAGAAAATTTGGCATTTTAGTCCAGATAATTTGTCACAATACTTTTTTTTTGGGGGTGGGGTGGGGTGGGGTGGGGTGGGGTGGGGTGGGGTGGGGTATATACAGTAAAATTTAGTTTGGTAACACAGTATTAAATAATACATAAACAATACAGTAACACATAGATTTTGTACATAAACAGCTCCTTCCCTGGCTGGCTGGGTGGTCATCTAGGTATGTAAACAAAGCACCAGGTATTTAATATGACACAATAACTCATGAGGTTGAGTATGGGCTTATTTTCTCAGAAAAATTTATTATTTTATTACAATGTTTTATTAACCCAGCATCCAACGAACCTAAATAATATGGAAATTATGAGGAAATTGTATACTACAGTACTGTCATTTTAAGGGGTCACGGGACCTGAGATGGGTACTTTCTGTTCACTCCAACCAGCAACCCACCATGCCCCCACTTCACTTCCCACTCTTAATTGTTCTTACTTTATAGTTTTACATTATATTTTATTTATCTATAAGTCATATTAGATCATTATAACACAGTATATATGAATATTTGAGGATGGGTTCATTATAGGGTTTGGTATATGGAAAATTTTTTCGATAATACTGGAATCTGAGGAGGTGGTTCAGTAAAACGCAAATCTCAGTCTGCATACAGAAATTCGGTATCAAAACGTAATATTATATGGGACTGGCTGGTTTGGATGTACAGTACAAAGTTCACAAGACCAGTGTAAGCACACGTGGATTCTGCTACGAAGTTTGGGGCTATGAGGCCTGATGGGAGAGTGAGTATGGGATCTACACAAGGTCTACACTACTCTCATCTCATATTGTGTGTGTGGATTTATCATAACAGTCATTCCAGGCTTTGAACAGTCTCTCATATGCCGATTTTGCTGCTTAATGATTCATATATAAAACCAAAAATTTGGAAATGCCGAAAAGGATACATATGTGAATGTTTAGAAAAATATAAAATAAAAATAATTAAATAAACAAAAATAATTAAATTTAATAGTACATCATTACTTTGTGTGGCCAGAAAGAGAAGGATTGTGGGTAATAATTGTGCGGTGTTTAAGTTTTACTAGTAATTGTGTGGTCTTCAATTTGAGTGGCTATGTTCAGCTGGTTTTAGTTCTATTTTTCAAAATCACATTCAATACCTTGAGTAATAATCCTGTAAAAAAGTCATGGATATTACTAGTTGATGATCTTTTTTATATGTAAATAAATAAATAAGATAAAAAACTAATGGGCCCTGTTGTCTGTGAGAGTAAAGGTATGTGTTGCATGATCAGGCAATGGGCTTGACCCAAACCCCCGATATATTAAATACAAAATTAGAAAAAGTTTGCTATGAAACATAACATGTATAATAAGGTGCAATAGAAGAGATAAATATAGTTCAGTCTATACAGAGCAGCCGATTGGGCCAGTTTGCTGAACAGGCTGCTACTGTCTCCATGCATCTTAACTTGTAACCCACAAACTTCTAGTTTCACACTAATCGGTGTTAAATTCTTAACTACAATATTTAATGATACCCAAATAAAATCATGTTTATTATAAAATTGTCCTTCATTAATTAAACACAACAAAACCAGCAACAACTGTACAGTATGTGGGGAACAGCGGTGGTGTTAGTGGGCGAGAGAATGTTAATGCCGAAATTTACTCAAGTGTTTTATCTACAGTTCTACAACAGTATATTAAACCAAACAGTACCTAAACCTGAAGTATTGAAGAATATGCAAACTGTAAAAATATATTCAATGCAATAGGTAGGAAGCAGTGGTGGGAGTAGAAAAATGGCTTTTGAGTTCAGGATCTGGGCCTGTAGAGGCGAGGCATAGGAATCCAATAATTGTAAATACAGTATATGAAAACTGTATTACAATCAACCCGTGGTTTTGGGAGAAAGGATCCCAGACCCGTATTGCCATTGGTAACAAAGTTGGAAATCTTAAGAAGCCTGTTGAAAAGTGAAACTGCATCTGTGTGTATAATGTAAACAAATCCAGCATCAGGTCAATTTGCCGAAATACTGATGAATTAAAAAATAAAATTAAGTATTCAAGTGACTTGTGTGAAGAAAACTGGCCAACAGTGTAAGGAACTATTTGGTTGAAAATTTGAAAAATACTGTACGTGATATGCCTGCTGGTGAGTTTTGTATAATATGGACACGAAGTAGTACCTTAAGCTGTGTATTCTTATATTACTCTATTAATTATGTATAGTAAAGTATTACAGAACATGTATTAATCCTATGTAATATTTCCATTTATTATGCACCATGTTATGTATGTGAATTATCATATTTACATACGTATTATGTATTCAGCTTGTGAATGCTGGCATCTGTACATGCCAGCGCGGAGTGATACAGAGAGTTGAGATCGCTAGTCCTTATGGTGTGGAAGCCGACTGTCTATTAGTTCCTCTGTATATCTCCCGTACGAGAATAAGAACCTATTTTCAAGATAACAAGTGTTTGCGTATACCTCCGTAGTGTAGAACATTCTGGGGGTATCAAAGACAAACATAGAAGTTTCATGCCAGTAAGGGATGCTTTGAGAAATTTAACCCTTTCAGTCCTATGGATGTGCCTTATACACTTTTGAAACCAGAATCCTGTAGACATATGAGACACAATTTGCTCTTTCCTGCCAAGTTTAAAATATTCTGGAGTGACCACGAACCATATAACATTATCAGAAGTAATAGTGTCCGCAATAAATATTAATCCTCATAACCTTTTACATCACTTTTAACAAACGTAAAAGTTAAGGATAAATATAACACTGTTAAACACATGCAAACATTTATATTATATTATTTAATATTTTGTTTTAAACAACAGTTGAAATTTATTTGGCATGGATTCAGCGAGTGTTTCGATATTATCATGAACCATATCCTTTGTCCAGGTCTGCTTGACCTACAGACAATATACTGAGCTTTGTGTTCTATCCGAGTCAATATACTGAGCTTGTGTTCTATCTGAGTCAATACATTTTCTATCAGGTCTAGGTCTGGTGAGCACCCGGGTCACCCCAGCATTCATATTCTTGCATACTTTAAATGAGGAGTGTTTGATGAGGGGCATGATGAGATGACAATTTCTGCTCCTTTTGCAGTCAGAGTTGAATTGTTCATTCTGAAGCATCTTGTGGTAAATTTTCTTAATTTCTGCTGCAGATAGTGTGAGATTCTTTATCACTTCATACTGTATCTCATAAGTATAACAGTGACTTTGGAGGTCCTTATAGACATCCCAGGAGATGTCTGAGGTGGACCAAAACTGGCAAGAAAATTTTTTGTCACACATTTCAATATTAATCGCAGCTGTGCCTTGTCCTAGATTTCCCACAGCAGAGTTTTTTCACCCAATAGGGCAAGAATGTGAGCCTTATGCTCACCAGACAAGTTCTTGAGATCCATGGTGACTGTTCTGAGAGAAAAAAATCTGAATAGTGTGGAGGTGTATGTTTTTCTATCATCAGAATGTGGCAAAAACTGATGCTATCACTACAGGATACTGTACACCTAAGCACACTGGTTATGCAGGAATCCTATACATAGAGGCCCCAGGCAGCAATGAGTTGGCAGAGGAAAATTATCACATTTAAATAAATTTGGTGGGCTGTAACCAGGCTCTAATTTTAGTGTAAAAATGACTAATTACATTACTGGGATCAGTATTTTTTGCAGACACCCAAAGAAATTTCACAGCAGCTTGGTCACCCAAAAAACACCATGGTGGAATTACATTTATTGGACTGTGCTGTGATTGGTGCCCATTGATATGGTAGACGCAAACGTAAATGAGCGGCAACATGGGAAGATGTATTTTTGGTGGATGGTAGTGATGCAGAGGAATAAGATGATGATGATCATCATCGTAAGTTTACCTTGAGGATATAAACAGGCTGTCACCACAGGCATTTGTCAGAAAGATGTAGTGACTCACACTATCTTACTGCTAAGGAAACAAAGAAACTAAAACTGCTAATCATCATTTATTCTATATTTTATGGTTTTTAACATTATGGTTAATAAATTCATAAGACCAAATTATTATATCTATTTTCTTTTTAAAATTTTTAAAAACCTTTGGCTGTGGGGGATGCAAAAGTAGCCCAAGCTGAGGACTCAAAGGGTTAAAATAAAAATGGCAACTGCTTTATAACATTTACTTTACAGACCTAAAATGATGAAGCTGCACCTGCAAGTCTTAAAACTATTGTAAGAATTATTTTGGAAACACATGCCATCAAGAACCTTAATTATGAGGAAAAAAGTGAGAAGCAGATTTCAAAGCCACAAAAGATTGCCTAAATACACAGTACAAATATACAGTAGTGACATGTCGGAACATAGCCAATGAATTTAAAGTAACCCCTTTACTGATTTACCATTTTTGAAACAAAAAGAGCACAGAAAAGGCTGAGACTACTGACATTACCTGTCCTCTGGCAATTAAACAAAACAAGACGGGCAACTGTTATTTAGCGCAAAAACATTCCCGGTTTAACATGAGCCGCAACATGTCAAGGCTTCATCACACCAGCCTGTCTCCAATAGTTTGCTGCCTCAGTCTGTGACACCCAAAGAACAGTCAGAGGCAAAGCAAGCCAGCCTTATGCTGTTCACTCACGACATGAGTCACCTTAAGTTTGAACAGTTGCAGTCCAGAAAGCCATTGTTCAAAGCGAGTTCTAATTTATTAAAAAGTGTTTTGAAATAATGGAATTAGTGTTGAAGTGAGAAAGAGTGGTGTCTTAAGAAATGCTTAAGTGCATGGTTAGGGGCGTGGTCTCGTACCCTGCTCTTGCACATTCTCTCTTTCCTCCTAACACGCGACTCTCATCATTTATGTGGTCTTCAATGGCCTTTTTCAATGTTTAGAACAAATTCGCACAACATGAGATTTTTTAAAACAAAATCCTGCATATAGCAAGGGTCACCTGTACCATTCCTTACTATGTGGATCACAACAAAGGCATTTAGCATGAGAGAAAAACAACCATCATACTCTAGTGTGTTCAGCAAATTAATGAATCATTAATGAATCATGGACTTGTTAATACTGCCGGATTCAAATTAAATCTGTACTGTATATGAAAAAAGAATAAAAGACTCACCAGTACTAATTAAATGACCTCCAAAAATCTGATCAACCAATGTGTGTGTTGCTTGTCTCCCGTATCCCTTAATCATCGTCTTCAGTCGTGGATTCACAGTGTTAGGGTCCGTCTTTTCTGAAAGTGCAAAGGCTCGTAAAATAGCCCTCTTTGCTCTTAAAATTTCTTCATTGCGTATTGCTTCGAGGAGACAGCGTAGGAGTTCGTGTGCGTCTTGTTGTTCGTAGCCTTGGAACTGCGTGCTTTTCTTACAGATCTGTAATATTAAAAAGTTTTGTCCACATGTCTCAATATAGTTAAATAAATCACCTTGTTAGAGAAAAATCTTACCTTTTTTCAATGGAAACAAAACATAAATCATCATATCAATTTTTAAGCTTTTTTACTAAGGAAGGTTTACTGTGATCACTACAGCATGCCAGACCTATCCACAACAGTACAACTGTCTAGTGCATTGGTCATGAAATGGCAAAGTTGATACTGTCATGTACTGTATATATATAAAAATCATGTTAATTGGCCCTAAGGAATGCTAAGCTGACTTCATCAATTGTAGATAGTAATAACGTTAATAGGTTCCAAGGGAGGTTCAAGTTTTATTACTGTAGTGTGTTTATGTACAGATACAATCATGCTAACAAATCAATAACCACTGATCATTGATGACAATTTAAATGAATATACAGTATACCACCATAACAGGATTCTCTTTCACTGCTTCATATCAAGCAACCTACAAAAAATTTGACAAGTAACACGGAACACTTACTGATGCATCCATTCCGTGCAACTGCAGATAGAAATACCCAAGTTAAGAGTAACGATACGAGTCAAGTAAGAACTACTATACTGTACTGATAACAGGATTTCTTAAAAAATGTATTTTTACTACAAATATATTTAAATATTTATATAAACAATATTGGAATACAATACAACACACCTGAAACAGATCAAACTACAAAATATTTGGATTTACAGAACATAGTTACAGTGGACACATGTCCTTCAAGTGTGTGCTTTTTACTTATCTCTAAGTACACCAGCCTTCTGCAAACTACGTAATGGTGTTTCTTAGAAAATGTAATTGCATTCTGAAAGTAGAAAATACTAGAACTCCAAAAAGTTGCATCTAGTACGTCATATAAGGACGACTCCCTCCACCAATCCTACCCCCATCTCTAGCTGTTGCTGATATAGCAAGCAGGCATAAAAACTTATGATGATGCACTGGGGATCACATCAAAGCCTTTCAAATTGTGGTGACAGAAAATCTAATGATACTTTATGGGGGGAATGTACAGTCAGCCCCCAATTTACACAGTTTTCTTGTTCAGTCTCACTTGAACAGTCAAGTAATTGAAACCCCTTACTGCATGGGTAACAGGAGAAAATAGCCACAACCAGAATGGCTGTACTACTGTATAAACAAAATTTGAACTAGGCCATTTAATCTTGAAACCAAAGGAGGTTTAGTTAGGGGTTGCTCTGGTTGGGGCCATTTTGATCACAGAGTTTTGGTTGAGACCATTTTCTCTCAAAACTATTTTATGTACACGGTCTGGAGTCCCTCATATAGTGCATGGTTCAGCATGTTTGCGTTCCATTGGTATGCAAATAATTAAGTTTTTGTAATAAAATGCAGTACCAAAGGAGTTTTTTCACCAATCTATTTGTAACTAATTACAACACAGTACTTTTTTGAATGACTACAGTAATGTACAGTACTTTACTTGTAATTAACCCCTTCACCACGGCCTCAGTCACCTGTCACATATCACTGCACAATGCACAAGAACCCGTCACACATTGCTATTCACAAGATTAATTGGTATAAAATCATTTTTCACCCACTACTTGCTTGGAGGCTATAATATATTTGAGACATACCTGTATATTTATGTTTTCCTTGAAATTATGCATTATGTATTCATATAATAGTTCAACCATTATTACATAAACCATATGTATAATAAGTATTAAGAAAATATGTACTCTATAGTACAGTACTGTATAGCAAAATGTACATATGTATGTACAGTAGCTACATGTACTACAGTACCTGTATCTGTATATCATATTTGTTTCCAATACATACATGAACATATTTATTTTTGTGTACTGTACTGTACTGTACTGTACTGTATTGTAATATGTAAATGTTGATACCTGTATGGGAAACACCACTACGTGATGATAATTTAAACTCTCAAGGATTTCTTCCCAAAACCTCTTGTGACAAAGTGAAAGGTATTATCAGTAAAAATATATACAGTATATTATTAAACTGCATCATGTATTTTTATAAGGAAAATAGATATTACTTTTATTTAAGCAAACCTAATTTTAAAATAATAGCCGACTTGACATCACAATGCTATTGTTTACGTCTTGTGGCTGCTTGACACGACATGCTCCCCAATTGCCTACACCTGCAGTATCAGTTATCCCATCAATTTTACAGGGGTTACAGTCTCCAAAATATCCCTGTAGCTAAATAATGAAGTGTGAGTGCTAGGCATTCCCTAGCAGTCAAGGTTTTCTTGTTTTTGTGTCCTGTTCCTCAATCAACGGAGTAACCTATCCTTCTGTTCTTGCCAAACATGGTAATGTCCATATATGCTTTCTCTGCCAAGCTCTTAGAAGCAATCATCACAGGGTCTATAACATCTGCCTTCACTGTTTTTAACTGCAATGGTGCCAAAATCAGCAAGTGTACTGTAGCTTTGGCTTGTGTGATAGCAATATTTTTTTAATTATGCTAAAATGAAAATGCTAATAAGGTTTACCCGGTATGTGATACCTTCAAGATTATAGGTGCTCAACGATGACAGTGTGGCCTAGGATGTGTGAATTCTCCATATAGTATTTTTCATTTAATATTAATTTAATACTGTATATATTTATTAAAACAATATTATCATACAGTATTTATTTATTTATTTATTAAATTCAATCACTATGATGTCAAATCCGTATGATGATGCATTAGGGTAAGTGTAGCATAGGCTATTGCACCATTAATTATCAATTCTATATTTAATGGGAATTTCTATCATCCAGCACGACCGATGTCCCATGGTTGCCAGATAACAAAGGGTCAATCTATATAGGGATTAAAAAAAAATATCCAGATTTAAATATATGCTGTGCAGCTACGCATTACCAACTCAAAAAGAAATGTCAGAAACAGCGCATTTTACCATAATATTATATCTTTATTTATGCATTATGATAAATTACACACACAAAAAAGCATTACTTGACATTAAAACATCCACACTATATCAAATAACGGCAAAAAGGTTTAAATTTAGGACAGAGAAAAATGCACCCAAAAGGTTATAGAAAATTACATCGTGGCACCAGTGAAAAGTTGACCTAACTGGCAATTATGAGGACATATGGTAGAGGTAGAGGCACTAACAAGCATTTTAGGAATTAAATAAAACAATTTAGTGGTGGATGATAACTACCAAGCTTTCTATGAATCATTAATATTTATAATATACAGCTAATTTTGCCTGAACAATGGAGAATAAAAAACTATACAGTCAGTTCTGCTATAACGCGATAGTTGTGTTCTTGTAAAATATCGTGTTATAGAAAATCACGTAATAGAAATAACAGGGCTTATGGAGAAAATAGGGTTAGGTGCAGATTACTCGAAATCGAAAAAACTTTGTAGTTAGCCTAACACAAAGGATAGCACAGTCTAAATAAATGTTACATTCATATCTAATAATGAAATCGTACAGTAAATGTAACACTTTACCTTGAAAAAATATGAATATAACTTGATGGGGGAGAAGGGTGATTTTGAGGTTGATAACATCGAGCTTCTCTTCAAGTGTTATATCCTTTTTTTTACGATCATCACCGGGAATTCGATCACCAGAACGCTTCTTGGCGATATTCTTCTTTACCATATTCACAGTTAATAACACAAAATTGGAGAAATAGTAAGCAAAAATCGTGTTACAACAAACAAGCGTTATACAAATATCGTTCCTCTATTCATAAATCGCGTTAGAGCAAATTCGCGTTATCAAAACACGCGTTATAGCAGAACTCACTGTAATTCTAAGGTGAAACAGGCTTACCAAGAGATCCATAGCTCTACAATCATGGTGAGAATAATCCAGTTATGATGACAATGACATAGCCTAATCAAACGATAACTAATTAAACTAAAAAAAAATACTGCAAAATCTATGAGAGAGATCAGGTTTGGGTTGGTGTATATGTTATATATTAAATGTGTTTGATTTCTGTTAGGAAATTCTACTTATTAGTTGATTAACTTTAATGCAGATATGCCTTTTGGTTTCAGAGGGAAGTGGTAATAGGAAAAAGTTCTTCTTCATAATACTGTACAGATGTACTTGAAAATTTACAATCCTGTACACTCCAAGTCCCAACAGTGCTGGATACCTATGGTTAGTTTATAATTAATTCTCAAATTACAGAACAACAACAAGGGAATATATCATGCACATCAAATGTCCTCAGGAACATTAAAGTAATAAAGGAGAAGAAAATTATATACAGTATATATATATATATATATATATATATATATATATATATATATATATATATATATATATATATATATATATATATATATATATATATATATATATATATATATATATATACACACACACACACACACACTATAGTGGTCAAAGACATTTAGTAAAACAAAATTTCAAGTCACCCCATGCAAAATAGAATGATAGAAAAAAAAAAGGTCAACTTAATTCTCAACACTGTACTGTACTTCACATGTTGTTTTTTTTTTCAAACACAATAAACACAGATCTACCATCACTGACCTGGCCAAACAGATGACCAGGGTTTAGAGTTGGATTTTTGCCAATTGAATGCATGTCTTTGAGGAATGCTGCAGTAGCAAGTGTCAGTCCTCCACCTTCAGGAAGAATTAAGTCCAGAGGTTTCTGAAAAGATACATACATAACATAGTAGGAATGTACCAATGTATCAGTATCGGTGGTATCAGCCTATTTATTGAGCATCAGTATCAGTTTTGGCCAATTTTCAGCCAATACTTTCACAATTTTATTTCTTTAATTTTCATCTCTGGCAGTCCAAACTATCCATTTCCATTATTACAGATATGGAATGCAACTAGCAATCTTATTTTCTCCAACATATATTAAATATCTGTGGTCAATAAACACATTCTATATTTGTTCAATGCACAATATTAATACAAGTACAAGATGTCCCCACTTGTTGAAACAGCACGTATTTCATGTTAGACCGCATATTTGAACAAAAAACTGCCACTGGAAACTACTGCGTTGAAGCCCCCAACCTCCCTGTGTTTGATGCAAACAAATGGAACCTGATTGGAATCTCTCTACTGGATTGAAAATTTTCCACAAGACCACTGGTCGGTTGAGGAAAACATCATGCACTGTTTCAAAGATAATCCCCCAAATGACATTTCTTGAAATGTTCATAACTAAAGCATCAGCAAATGCTTGGTTTTCTGGGTTAGGCAGTACTCTCACTGTCATCAAGGAATCAATGGAGAACAGATTTCATAGACATCTTGATAATGACAACTCAATACTGGCAACATATCTTGATTCAAGATAGAAGGATACCCTGTCTCTACCTGAAGGTGATGAGAAGTCTAAAATGCATGAAGTTAACCTACAGAAAGCGATGGTCAGCTGTCTTGAGAAGAGGAAGCAAGCTATACAAAAAGAGGAAGAGTGTGAACATACCAGTGCACACTCCAGTGAAACTGAAGTGCAGAACCTAGAGTGTTTTATGCAATAGATGACTTTAGTGACTTTGCTTTTGATAAATTCTTAGACCAGTTACTGACAGAGGGTGACAGTGATCATTCATAGTCTATAGAATAATTATCAATTCCAAGGAGTTCTACTAAGAGACATTGCATAACAACTTCAACTGTCAGAGCTGAAATGGACAGACACCAGACATTACAATTGAAAGCGCATGATAGAAATCCTTTAGATTAGTGGAAAACCAAAAAGAATATACTTCCAACATTAAGTCTCCTTGCAAACAAGAATCTTTCTTCTCCACCATCATCAGTGGAAAGTGAAAGATTATTCAGCACTGGTGATAATGTATACGGTATGTTACTTTTTTTGTGAAATCAGTTATTTTGCAAAATTACCAGCATGTATATTGGTAATTTTGCAAAATAACTTACAAACAGGCCAACCAAAGTTAAAAAAAAGAAAGAACAGGACCACTTAACTGTGTATCAATCTACACCAGCCATCCTAATATAATATAATATAATATAATATAATATAATATAATATAATATAATATAATATAATATAATATAATATAATATAATATATATAATATAATATATAATACAATATAATATAATATAACCTAACCTCTCACTTAAGCTAACCATAAGGTTAGGTTAGATTAGGTTATGGAAGGGTTCAGTTCCTAAAAATCTTTCTACGTATATCACAAAACCATTTTTCCCATCAACTCATTGACTACCGTACCATTATATAAATCGAGATGAGTTCCTAGAGAAATATTTTTTGATGCCCAAAAACGTAACACATATATGAATTAAAATAGACACATACAATGATTTATTCATGATGTAACATGACAATAAATGCACACACTTGAATTTAACTCAGCAGAAAAAATTTTGAATACTCAAAGAGGTGGTGAGGTGAAGTGGTGCCATCTGTTACTGGGAGTGACCTTCTTAAAACATCATGTTTATAGTCCAACATAATTCCTTTATGGAATCTTTTATCACCACTGCTTTCACTTGATGATCTTTTTCCACTCATCTTGAATAAGGGTACACAGTAACACAGATGCATAACTGAACAAAAACTGGGGAAGAATTCAAACTGAGCAGCGCCATTGTTGTGGTGGCTGCTGGGTAGGTGAGCGGTCCTCCAACCTTCTTGAAGTTACCACTAAGAATCCACACAAATAAATTTTATAATTTTGGTGGATTTCTTTGTTATATATTGCAACTTTTATGTTGGAAAAATTTACCCAAATTCCATAAGGGCGAGTTTTTTGTCCGCATTACAATTTTATCATAATTTCAAAATTCCGTAAAGGCGAATTTCCGTAACCCGGAATTCCATAATACGGGGGTTGCCTGTACAGTGAACCCTCACTTTACGCGGTTAATTCAACCCACGGCGGCCCGCGTAAAGTGAACAACATAACATATGGGATTAATTGAAATAGAGACCGGGCCGACCCCCAAACTCCACTTTTTCAGACACAATACCTACGTTGTAGTAAAAATAACTTCTTAATTTTATGATGGTATGCACACACAATTAATAATTAAGAGAAATATCAATAATATTAGGTTTTTTAACACTTACATTAGTAGAAAAGATGGCTGGGCACACGGGGATGGGGGGTTGGTTCTGAGGCAGAGGGCAGATTATTGGCCCTCACCTGTATCACTTGTATCAATTGTATCACTATCCACCACAGAGGCTTGCAGGGCCTCTTTGTCAAACCCCTCAAAGTCCATATAAGTCCATATCCTCACTATCATTATCACTATCACTGACTTGGCCCGGCTGTGGTGGGTGGCGGGTGAAGAACTCGGTAATGTTTTGATGACTGGGCGACCTTGTGCGCACCCTGCTCACGCCGCTCTCCGCGTAAAAGGGTACACACACCGTGGAAAGTGAGCATTCCGGTTTCGGCAGGGTACCGCGTAAACATGGAAACGCGTAAAGTGGGACCGAGTAAAGCGAGGGTTGACTGTATTAAAAAGAAAAAACTCTAAAAAGAATAAAACACTCACCAACTCGACATCATCTTCATCTTCATTTCCTTGTACATATTCTTTTTGTTTCTGCTTAACTCGACCATTTTCTGTCATGTATTTCTCTTGATAGAGCTCCCCATTACTTTTACCTTCAGAATATATGTCTGAAGACTTTAGGCGACCAGGGAGGTACACCCGCTGACCACTCTGGCACTGAACGTCCAGTAACTGGGTAAGGAAATGTGTCTGCGAGAGACTCTGCATTACGGAGTTGAAGAAGCATGTATTTCCTAAGTTGCTTAAACCCTGAAAATAAAAATAAATAAATAAAAATTACATTGTTTGTTATGATGAGACAGGTATATCCTGATAACCAACACATATGCGGACTGTGAAGTTGACAGTTAGTGAATCGACAGTTATCAAAGCAATTAATCCAGTAAGAATATAACAAATTCGGGAGGTTAGGGACTGGCCTTCCCCCAAAAACTCCCATCTACCCTTGATATATCAGTCATGCATTGTCAAACAAGATAATAAAGCAGACATATAAAGCAAGCATAATAAGCATTAAATAAGGAATGCAAGCATAAATTAACTGTTATTTACCTGTGTTGAAGCATTGACTCTGCATTCCTACCAGAGGCTGGAGGAACAAGTTGGTTGCGGTAAGCTTACTGGATGAAGGGTCATCAGGGTCACAAAGCCCAGTGAATGCAGAGGGACTCACACTCACCAGAAGCTGCCTCGTAATTTCCTCGTCTTTGAGGATGGCAAGTTCAAGTCTCTACTAATCTTTGCCCTGTCCATCACCACTCTTATTATGCATTATCATATCAAGCTTGACAGTAAGACTCACAGACTTGTGCGATCCCTTAAGGGCAGAACGAGAGGAACTATCGCCTGGGCGTTTAGGCATGATTGCATAACACACAAGGTCGGAAACAACAGAGTAAACGAAAAACACAAAATCGGAGACAATGGGCAAAGTGTAAACACATGCAGCAAGACAGGACTGAGTCAGAGGCAGCACGCAGAGCCCTCTCATGGCAAGAATTCACATCACACCACCGCCCACAAATTCAAAACAGCTCTGCCGTTCCTTCCCCAATCATCGGATCAACGGAGTAGTCAAGGGAATTTGCGGGGTATTGCCCCAATGTGTAATCGTTGGTTATAATAAGTGGTAGTTAATGGGACATTGGTTTACAGGGTACACCTGTAGCCCTGGTTAAAACTTATATGGGAAAATTGTTTTAAGTGAGGTGTTAATGTTATTTCATTGTTATAACCTTGTCACCATATAATAATCATTGGAATATGCCCAGCAAGTAATACATGTGTCTCTGACAAGTAAAAACAATAAAAAGTATTAATATGGAAGGTAAATTAGATGTTTTAAGTCATTTTCGTTGGCAAATGAGATGATGACATAACCAGTGTACCATCATTGTGCCCACACACTAACCTCATGTCTGACAAAATAAAAGCCTCATGCAGAACCCATTATTGCACTTCCCTTGTGAAATTTGTGTGAATGATCTGAATGTGACTTGAAGTACAAATTAACGAGGTGCCAAATGAAATCAAACTGAACATAAAGAGCTTACCTTTACTTTTGGTAAAGATGCAAGAACACTGGCTTGTACATTCCGTTGGTTTTTAGCTGCTTTAGAGTTGTCATCAAAAGATGACAGAGAACCTTTGGCAACAGTGACTGAACCAGAATCTGGGCCACATGAATGTGATGAATCTGGAGACAGAGAATCACATATTTAATCCACATAAAACTACAAACTTTACAGGACAATAAAGCTCACCATGTTCTTTCAAGTAACTAAATAGCATTACTGGACCACTTACTTTAGATCTTATTATATAACAATACAGTAAAAATCCTATAATTCAAAATAATAAAGGCTCTAGCCCTTAAGAATTATAAGCTTTTATGAAATATGAGGGACACCTCCCATGAAAAAAAAATTACTTTATTATTATCTGAACAACAAAAATTTACACATTATGAGTGATTTCGATTTAGAGGGGTACAAATTATGTTTTTCTTCTGTACTGTAGTTGGATACAGTATACTGTACTGTACAGTTAATCTTGACATGAAATATAAATCCAAGAAAGAAAGTCATGGTAACCTGTTTTCAAGCAGGTAATTAAATATTATAAATGATCACGCACTGTATATAAAATCTGGGAATTGTAGAATATGGTGACCAATGTTTCACAAATAGCATGTTTCAGACTTATTTTCCAGTCACAAACTTTATATTTTTTCAAAATGAACTATGTTTCACGTTAGTTAATCATGTGTAAGTTGTCTGGTGACTAGAGCAAGTTATAACTTTAATTTTCCTAAAAGCACATAAGTGACCTTTTCACAAAAAGGTGACTACAGTAAAATTTGTGTCATTACATAAACTTTCTTGAAGATGAGTGATTGTAAGACATGTTTCATATATTTTTCTTAGTAATGATTACCTAACTGTACTGTTTTTGTTTTTTCTAATGGTTTAAATAAGAAAAACTCAAACTGCTCAATGTATTACCATAGTTGACTTATATTTCCTCTAAGATAAGTCACAATGTGATAGTTTTCTGAAAACAAACAAGGTTTTTTAAATTATTATTTTTGTTAAGTCTGACGTGAGTAGCGTGTTGCTTTAATGTTAAAGCAGACTTATAGTTCCCCTTAAAATACATCACAATGGACTATTGTATCTTAAGTAACATAATTATTATTAGGTGATCATGCTTATCAAGTGTGATAAATGTTTTGCATTTCATTTGTAAGGTACAATCTTAACAAAAGAAGTTAACATTTGTTAATCCCAACAAGTGACAATCAACTATGATGCATGTGCTACAGCCTTAGCTTTTCTTCACTTTTTACAGGTGAACATAGAAATTGTACGTACAGCTAGAGAAGTAATAATAGAAGAATAAAAGGAAACAAAAAGATGCCGTTTATGAGAGATTGGGAAATTTAAAGGAAGTGGATGATTGGATCAGAGCTAAGATGATGTGCCCATTTGGAGACAAAGGCAAGTTAATAAACAAAGCCATGTACCCGTCTCCTAAATCTACTGATACAAAACATTCGTTACTTACTAACAACAGGTCTTGTGGTGGCTGAGCGCCGTGGTGCCATATCTTTTTGCCTCTTAATATATTCTACAATTTCATGAAGTTTTTTGGAACTAGTTTGATGAACCTCTGAGTCACAGTCATAACACCTGGGAGAAAGTAACAAATCTATTGTAATGGGACCATTAAGTAAAATAAAATTGCAAGATTCAAGAACCTTTTGTACCTTCACAAATTTTATACAATATGGGCAAAGACTCCCATGTAGAAATGAAATCATAAAACAAATTATTTCTTTCCAACGTGATATGGTTTATTTACCTGACAGATAAATTTCATTACTTCACTGATTTATCAATGAAATTCTAGGTACAGTATCAGAACACCTTTTCAAATTTGATCAGCATTAACCCTCTCATGCACAAGATAAGTTTTAAGTTTTCCAGTTCCAAGATCACATCTCTGAAGCCCCCAGGGCAGACGAGACAGCACACAGCGAATATTTTGTTTTACTTTATCAATTTCCCCCAAAACTTGTTTTTAATGGCATAAACCATACTACTGAGATTTTACATCACTAGTTCTGAGTTGGAAGGGTCAAAAAGAATAATCAACCACAACAACAAACATCTTATTAGCTAATAACACCAGGAACTGCTGCAGTTCCTTCCAAAATACCTATGTGTCACAAACAGTCCAGTGGAGAACTAATCTGTGGACATCTGCTCTCAATGTTATTTGGTGAGGAATTGAATCAAAGATGACAGACTGGACCAAACAAGATGGCAAACCATAGCTTTCAGTCTGATATATGATGACTGGCATAATAAAGCTACGAGAGGGCCTCCTGGCTCTTGGGGCATTAAAAGTCAATCACATTAGTATGTATCTTTAAACACTACAGAAATTATTTTGAAAGAAATGAGAATGATGAACTGCAAAAAGTGATCACATTTATATGTCCTCTATCACAAGTCATCAGTCAGCTTACCACACATTCCAAGCCTGGGTGCTGAGTATGAGGCAGTGAGGGTCAGAGCGTGGAGTTCGGTAATGGAGAAGAGAGTGTTGTTCTTGTGTGTTGCGATCACAACCCTGATGTCCACAATAAAGGCACAGCCAAATTACTGGTTCGTAGGAATCCTGCAAACATATAACATACCAGATAATACTTTAACTACATACATGATAGAAGAAACAATTTATTCACAATGAACACATCAACAACTGGAATTAATGAGGGCTAATATCTAGAAGCAAATGATTTGTTCAGCAAATACAATATATAATAACTAACTGCAAACTGCACCATCTATCATATTACAGTGATTCCTATTTAATCTGCTGAATACAGTTATCCTAAAATTAACTTATATCCCATAAGTTATCATATGGGATTTAAGGTAATTCCTGAAATTGAAGCTAGTGATGATTAACTTACATATATAAAACAAAAAATTATACAATGGAAAGTGAGGGAGAGCAATGGCACTAGAAATACAATACAATAAGGTGCCAATGACAAGTATGGTAGATGTCCTCATAGAGGCCAGAAGAGGATTACAGTATAGTCTGCATTTACGCGGCCAATTGAACCCGTAGAGGCCTGCGTAAAACGAGAAACGCGTAAATGAAATAACAGAACATATGAGATTAATTGAAAAAGAGACTGGGCCGACCCCCAAACTCCACTTTTTCAGACACAATACGTACGTTGTAGTAAAAATAACATCTTAATTTTATGATGGTATGCACACACAATTAATAATTAAGAGAAATATCAATAATATTAGGTTTCTTAACACTTACGTTAGTAGAAAAGATGGGTCGGCACACTTGGATGGCGGCTGGTTCCGAGGCAGAGGGCAGATTAGTTGCCCTCCGGTGAATCACTTTCACTACTCGCAGAGGTTGGCAGGGCCTACCAGACAAACCCCTCAAAGTCCATATCCTCACTGTCAATATCACTATCACTGACTTGGGCTGGCTGTGGTTGTGGTGGGTTGCGGGCGAGGAAGTCCTCAATACTACGTTGACGACTAGCATTGATGTTGTCGAGATAGATCTGGATATACGGCTCCATAACTTTCGTCAGATGGTTATTAGACACTTCATACCGATGCTTGTTTGGGTCATTGTCAAGGATGAGCTTAATTTTCTCCCCCAACTCGATGATTTCCTTCACATTATCATGGCTTGGTCCAGGTAATTCAATGTTTTTCTCTGGTGGTGGGGGTCCCGCAGAAGCCATTGTGAGTTGTGAGGGGAATAGCGGGCACAAGAGAGAACTGTATACGCGGACTGAGAACAATGAGACAGGCCCGGCTAGATCAGCGACTTCTACCCTCTGATGGCAGGGCACGTCATGTTACATTAGACCAATCACAGCTAGTGGCGGAGGGAATGCATGGGTGGTAAGGACGCGTAGCCCAATCACAGTCTGATATGCCCTATGACGTCAGCGATAACGTAAGAGCGGCCTAGTGCGCACCACTCACCGCGCCGCTTCCCGCGTGTGGTCAAGAATGGATCGCATGGGTAAAAAATGGCGCAGCGGTCTGGACCTCTCCAGCCGCTCGCAGCGTAAATGACCAAATTTACCGCGTATTAAAGCATTTTCATTCTGGCAAGGCACAGCGTAAATGACCAAATGCGTAAACAAAAACCGCGTAAATGCAGACTATACTATATAAATAAAGAAAGGTCACTTAAAGATGACTTTGATGTTTTACCATGAGTCATAAAAGTTCAGCACTTACCAGGACAGGATTACATTCTTCATCTTTCAGTTGTATCTGGTGGCCCTTGCGACACTGAGTGCATTCACCAATCTCCTGACCTTGCTTTAGTGCCTTCTTCACCAGATTCAAGTTGACGGACCTACTGGCATGACCACACGGTTTTGACTCTGTAATACAGTTGTTGGTAGATGAGTAAACTTTTCATTATCAGAAAATTATCAAGTTATGCAATGAGATGAATTGTGTTTTAAGATTAACACACAAAATCATTAGGAGATCTGAATAATTTTCAAGTACAGTAAAAGAAAATTCAAAGTTACCCAGTATATGAGTGTTGTACAAATCTATACTACAATATATTAAAACCTACATTTTACTGATTATCAGTATAAAAGTCAAAGGTTAGTTTCATGTTGAAAACTGAGAGAAAAGTTTAGTCCAAAATAAAAGTAATAACAATAAAATCAAGATATTTTAAAAAATTCAAAACCAGTATACTACAGTATTTATACGAGCAGACTGCAAAACTTAAAAGAATGTCACAGAACAGCATTTGGCAATAATAAATGTTATGTAAATAAAGATTATAATGAGCCAGCATTAATATATTACCCAGACCAATAAAAAGCTTTATGGAACAATTAAATATATTATTTGAGACTTATACCACAGAGTGAGTGCCTCCATAAACCGATTCCGTGCCAACAACACTACACCCACAAACTACATACCTCGCAGGCCTAACCTGTCAGGTTTTGATTGGCTGGTACCCAACTGCAAAGCCCAAAAATTCCCAGAACATTACATGAAGATTACTTTGGTACAAAAAATAATATTATTATTCATAACAGCAGAAATAAAGATAATAATAATAAAAAATATTTCAACTCAATTTGAATTAAGTGAAATTAAACTTTTATACATACTATATGTACTTTCTTATGATAATGGAATGATAATTTTTTTACAGAACATTACAGAATATTAAAATTTACTCATCACCTACAAATTTCCATTTTAGGCAAAATTTTCCTTTCCTTTATATACAGAGTGTGTGTGTAATAATAATAATAATAATAATAATAATAATTAACGGTTTATTGAAAGAGCTTGGCAGCCAGAAGGCTGAAAATATACAGTTACATATTTGGGGAATGGGTTACGAATTACAAATAATATACAAGTGACATAAGTGACACAAATAAGACATATAGTAACTTAGATGGGGATCAGCTCAAAATACAGTTCATTTCAACATAGTGACAGTGTAGGGAGCAGTGTTTACTGGGAGTGAATACACTGATTTATTACATGTTATTGATAATTTTTACAATGGTTGGGACTGGGCTGTTCTTATAGCGATCAGTTCGTGCACGTATGGGCTGGATGCGGTTGTGGTGTCGAACAGCAATTCTCGGACAGGGGATCTCAGGTGGTAGTAGGGGCCGGTGTCGGGGATGGTGTAGAAGCTTCTTACCAAATTTGCAGATGAGGTCGTGGTGATGGTCAGTGAGAGTCGAAAGGGTCAGTGTGTTGAGCGCTTCTTGATATGTGGAGTAGGAAGGGGAGAGAATAATCTTGCATGCCCTCTTTTGCACTTTTTCTAGGTGTTTACGTTGTGTGGCATTTAGGGAGGAAGACCAGGTGGGGGAGGCATAGGTGAGCTTGGGAAGTATGAATGTTGTGTAAACACTGAGGAGCTCGGTGCAGGAACTCCGAGGGACTTGAGTCGGCGGAGGAGGTGGAGACGGAAACTGGAGGATTTGACAACTTCACTGACGTGTGGTTTCCAATTTAGTTTGTTGTCTATGGTGACGCCGAGGAGCTTCGTGGAATCTACAACCTGGAGTGTGTTCGGACCTAGGGTAATGGAAGGAGGTGGGACAATGTCGGAGGAGAGGTTGATGTGCATAACCATTGTCTTGGTATGGTTGATGGTGACATGGTTGTTGGTGGCCCAGTTTTGGAGACTGTTCAATAAATCCTGAAGGGCGGTATAGTTGGGAGCGGAATTGTTGACGCTGATCCCAATGGTGGAGTCGTCGACATATTTCCAGCGAGCAGGGGCTTCTCTTAGGGCATCATTGATGAGCATAAGGAAGCAGAGTGGTCCCATCTTGGTGCCTTGGGGGACGCCACAGGTGAGTGACTGAAAGGTGGAGACAGCCCCTCGGAAGCGTACAGCTTGGCGTCGGTCACTGAGGAAGTCTGTAAGCCATGGTATGAGACTTCTCCGAAGCCCGAGGTCAATAGCTTTGTTTATGATTATATTGTGGTCGACTAGGTCGAACGCTTTAGTGAAATCAATGAAGGCGACAGCTACAGACGTTTTTCGTTTCTCGAGATGGCGGTATATGTAATCGAGAAAGCTGACAAGACAGTGAGTGGTGGAGGAAGTTTTCATGTTGCCAAATTGCTGAGGGTCTACGACTCCTGCAATATCAGCATAAGCCCAGTCAAACACAAAACTTTCACAGATTAGGCTGGGTATTGGGGTGATTGCAATAGGTCGTAGCTGATTTAAGGATTGTGGGCTGGTTGACTTGGGCACTGGTGATACATAAGAGGTCTTCCAGTCAGCTGGGCATCTGGCTTGACTGAGAGAAGCATTGATGATGGAGCAGAGGGGTTTAGCAAGCTCCGGGGAGAACTCCTTGAATAGTTTCATTGGTAAGTCAATGGGGGTGGTAGAGCGTTTTAATTTTAGTTTGTCCAGGCGTTTTGCTACGTCAAATTCCTCTACTAAGTCAGTGGGAAGGGGGGCTGGTAGGTAAGCAGGGAGAGTGGTTGTGTCAAGCCGTGGGAGCGTCTGGCATATAGTAGCGAAATGGTTATTTGTTTGCTCAGCTGCGTCAACATTAGTGAGGTGGCTAAGGAAGGGGAGGGGGTGTGTCATATTGTTTAGTCCACAGAGTTCTTTAAGCTTACCATACCATTGACTGATGTTGGTCTGCTTCAGGTGTTGTAATTTGGTTGGGTAGTGGGACTTCTTTGCAGTGCGTATTTCGCGGATGACTCTGTTGCGAAGTGACCTGTAGCGGATGTGGTCATTGAGATGAAATGCTCTGTCTCTCTGTTGCATAAGTCTTTTGATCCGAGGTGTGATCCAGGGCAAGTCAGCTGGGTGAGATCTGACGGACTTCTCGGGGAAGAAGTGGTGGTGAGCTTCGGTGGTGGTGTTGGTATAATTTATCCATTTGGTTTCCACGTCATCCACGCTGAGTACTTCAGTCCAGGGATAGTGAACTATCCACTGTCCAAAGAGGCGTACTGCAGAGTCAGTAATCGGCCTGTAGGTCTTGATGTAGGGTCTCTGTACTTGAGTGGGAGTGGCAGCAGGGGACCAGAGCACTGATAAGTGTGTGCTACACCCGACAGGAGGCAGTGGTTGAGGAGGTTGGTACTGGTCCGCTAAGTCAGTTAAGATAAGGTCAAGGGTGTTTTGACCGTGTGTGGGGAAGGTCACAACTTGTGATAGTGATAGCTGGTCCTGGATATCAGTGGTGTCAATTTCATTTAAATCCCCACATAATACTAACTTGGCACATGGGTACCTAACTCTGTGTGTGTGTGTGTGTGTGTGTGTGTGTGTGTGTGTGTGTGTGTGTGTGTGTGTGTGTGTGTGTGTGTGCATACAGTATATGGCTTCTGCTGGAAACTTTCTGTTGCCATGTTTATACAGTATTTCTAAGTGACCAAAAAAACAATTCTGTAGTCAGACTTGTTTTCTTGTCTCCACTTCTCTCATTCCTTCTTTTTACTGAACCATCAAGTGATACAGTACTGTATAGGGGTTAAAAAGAATTAATTTATCAGACATTTCTTTCTAAGACATTTTCATGAGCCACTACAGTTGTTAATAATTATCTAAGTTGGCAGGCAGTACAGTAATGGCTTCTGTGTGTGTTTGCCTGTGTGTACTGGTAAATCATATGCTGCATGTACTGTATATGGTATTAGTCAAATATTTTATTGGTTATAATATTCTACTTTGCCAGAACAATACAGTAATCTTAAACATTTCTATATAAATTTCTCACTAACAGTACTGAACTGTACCAGTTTCTTGTGAAAATAAAATAAAAATAATACCAAGCATATAAAAGCTGTACAGGTATTTTCTATATGGTAACCAATAATCAATCAAACCATTTTACAGCTTATTACAGTAAATTCACTCACATAATTCAGGGATGGTAGACAACAATAACTTATATACTGTACTGTATAACCAAGTATAACAGCATCCAGAAGAACAGTGCAAAATATACCAACCATGTCTCTAAAACTGACTTAAAGTTGAACTCCTATAATATACAAGAAAGTTAAAGATAGACAGACAGGTGAACTAAAAGAAGCCATACCATAATATACAGTCCATGTACGGTACACTATGTGCTACACAGACAAAAGCTGGGGTTACATCCCAAAACATGACCCTAAAATACAAGTTGATATCATTCCACATAAAAGCAGAAACTCCCATGAGATTATTAACACTACATGTACATACAGTACAATATCAAATTCTGAAAATTGTGAAATTTACTGCCCAACTCCCATCTTGAACTTGTCCACATTATATGTACTGTACATGGACATTTACAAATGAGATACTGTACAGCATTTAGCCAATTCTTAAACAAAATTTGTGGTTTACAGAAATTTTGAGGCAGTAACAGACACACACGCACACACACACACAGAGTGAGAAAGAAAAGGAAAATCTTACAATCAGCTTACTACTGAATTACTTATAATAACAAAATCCCAAGTGAAGAGGTAGCAATACACCAACTCCCACTTATTCACAGCAACATGGTTTGTAAACACTTGAAGTCAATATTTTGTTTGTATTAAGCCTTTTTCTTAATTTCCCAATGACATTATTTTCAATATGTACTGTACACTAAGTGGGACACAGCCTGCACCACCATCTTCACCCACGACTCTAACAATGATTTAGGATTGGTATCAAAATAACTTATAATTAGTGAAAACTGTTAAGAACAAAATGATATAAATATGGCAATACATGTGATCACTTGCAGTTATTCACATCTTTGCATCATACCGAGTAATTCCGCTGCCATTTGTGATCTTCAACAGCAACTTAAGACAGCCAATGCCATCAAAAGAGTGGACATCGAAAGACTCCTACAAGCAA